GAAAGTGGAGAGAGGAGGAGAGGAGAGGGAGGAGAGAGGGAAGAGGGGGGAAGGGGAGAGGGGAGTGGGGAGAGGGATGGAGAGAGGGGGGGGGGGGGGGGGAGGAGGAGGAGTGGGCGGGCCTCGTCGAGCCAGCCCGCCGCCAAGCACGCGCCAACTGTCTGCTCGCGCAGGTGCGCCTAAAAAAGAAAAACCGCGCCTGTGCGCGCCGAAAAAGAAACGCGCCTGGCCGTCTGCTCGCGCAGGTGCGCCTAAAACAGAGGGAAAACAGAGGGCGCTGCGGAAAAAAGAAACACGCGGGCCACCGATCCTCGCGCAAATGCGCCAGCGTCGCCCGCAGCTGGCCGCCCTCCTACATGTCCCACACCCCCAGAGTGGTCGAATCCAGTGTGGGCTCGCTCCCGCGGGTGGTGCGGTAGCAAAGGCGCGCCACCGTCGCCCGTAGCGGATCGCCCTCCCCGCCGCCCGTCGGCTGGGCGTCCTCGCCGCCCGCCTCCCCCCCTAGCTTCTCCTCGAAGCGGGCGAGCAAGCCGACGGCGCGAGCCGCCTGGCCGCCCCGCCGGCAGGCGGCGAGGGCAGCGGCGTAGCAGAACGGGTCAGGCCTGAAAGAGAGAGCCAGAAGACGGTCCGGAAAACCACAAGAACTGCGGGCGCGGCAGCGGCCCGAGGAGGGGATGATCAAACCCTGCGTCTGGTGAGCCGGCGGCGAGGTCGGCCGCGTGAGCCTGTGAGCGCCGGGGTCGGGCGTGGGGGAGGGTGGGGGCGTGCTGCGGAGGCCGGGTTCGGGTGTGTTGAGGGTAGGGGTCGGGTGTGGGGGAGGGTGGCGGTGGGGGCGTGCGTGTGGAGGGTAGGGGTTTGGGTGTGTTGCAGGTAGGGTCGGATTCGGGTGCGTTGCAGGGTAGGGTAGGGTCCCAGGTGTGTTGCAAGCTAGGGTGCGCGCATCGAAGATGGCCAGCGCGGATTCCCATCGGCCGCCGCGCACGCACGCGCCCATGGCAGTTGACACGAGCACGCCGCTCAGCCTAAAAAAAAAACACGCGGCGGTGAAAAAAGAAACACATCAGAGTCGAAACGAGCACGCCGCTCCGCCGGTGCGGTGCGTCGGCGTGCATCGTCCGCGCCGCAGCGAGCTCCGCCTAGGGTTCGGATACCGTGGGGGTAGGGGATGGGTTCGGGTACCGTGGGGGTAGGGGAGGGGAGGCCCGCCTCGGCCCTCTCCCCGTCACGGCCCGCGCGGCACGCCTGCAGCAGAGGCGGGGAGATACTGGGAGATATGGGGAGGGATGGGGAGAGGTGGGGAGATACTGGGAGAGAGATGGGGAGAGATGGGGAGAGGTGGGGAGAGGTGGGGAGAGATGGGGAGAGGTG